ACCTAAAAAATAGACCAAACTTGAGAAAAAATTCTAGTTTTACCCAGAATTTTTCTACCATTTCCAACAGAATTTGAACAAGCCAAAATTGCACTATATGTTTCTTAGAGAGCACATAATATTATTTAAAGTGCAACTTTGTTTTTTGCACTGTTGGACATTGTCAACTTGGTTACCAATCACTCCTTTCTAATTTGAGCCGAAGTTCAAATGAGACCAACCCCTTCAATTAGAACAAGAAAGATTGATAACTTGGGTAAGAATAATAGTGATGCTATAAGAAAGGAACAATTTTCTCTGAAATTATTTTGTGAATAAATTTTCCATGTACTACATAAAAGATTGGACATGAGAAGATTAATCCCAATATTATTTCCTCTGTGCCTTTAGGCACGGGCATACATTTTTGAATCCTGATGGGACTTTTGTATATCTGTCAAAATATGCACCATCAGATTGATTCAATCCAATGGTTGAAAATGTCTTACTCTCATTTGTCCTACTTGGACATTTCAATGGTTCAGATTTTTTGGGTGAATACCAATGCTTCAGATTAGTTTTACATTTAGCTTTTCGATTCTTACCCTTAGGATTGAATCAATTCACACAGACATCTTCTCTCTCTCTGATTTTGATTTCAAAATTTGAAACTCCATTCTCTCTCACACCTCTTCTTCCCATCACACATCTTCCTCTTTCCACTAAGCTTTGTCTCTTTAGAAGTTTAATCTCCGGTGGTGATTTCCGGAATATAGCTCTGACGAAATATAGCACCATTGAGAGGGGGTGATTTCTACCATCTGCCTCAATCTCTACCTTCTCTTTCTCTACACAGCTCCAAGGTAGAAAGCTATACTCCCTGTTCTTTTTTTTGGAAGAAGGTGTGAGAATCTAAGGTTTTTATTTGGGTTTTGGATTTTGATATGATAATAAATCTTTGCCTCCTCTCCCTTTCCCTCTCCCTCTCACACTTCCCCTATTTTATTTGGGTTTGTTTTTCTTTTTCTTTTTCCTTTTTTTTTTTGTTATCAGTATAGAAACCATTCTTTTTATCAAATGTAGTTATACAAAAATATTTATGTCCTGTTTGATTGCTGAGAAAGTGGCAGCAAAAGTAAAAAAAATGAAATTTTGGTTATTGTCATTTTTGGGTTTGATTGAAAGGTCTATTATGAATGTATTTTTATCAAAATTATTATTATTTTTATTGGGTTTTGTACTCAATAACAAGTGTTGATGTTCTGAATTGTTATTTTTCTTAATTGATTTGGAATATTTGTTTGGGCACCATTAATCTATCTCTTTATATTTTTTTTGCTCCATCTTTAAGCACCATTATGTGATCTGCTTCATATGGTGCAACAACTTCAACGGCGACAATGGAGAAGATTAGGGTTGTGGGTTGCTGACTCTGTTTCAGTGTCTTGGTTTTGGTAGAGATGTTATCCCAAACAGGTATTTTAATTAGTTAGTTATGCCAAATATGTTGAAACCATGGAAAAAGTTGCTAGAAACTTTAATCAATTAGATTTGTAATTAATTGTGCTGGATTTAATTAATTAGATTTGTAATTAGATTAATTAGTTTGTTTTATTGCTAAAATTGTGATAAATTTGAACTATATCCTTTGGTACCTATTAATAGTTGATTTATTATTATTATTATTAGTTGAAGTTATTTGTTGGTTATAGGGTGCTTGGCTTCCATTGGGAAACAAATTCCGTAGCAATTCTGGTTGACAATAATATTTGTGTGGGAGTTTTTTCCCCCTTTTCTGTGTCTTGAGAATATTGCAGACATCAAATAATACAAAAAAAAAAAACACTATCAAATTGGTTTTTTTTTCATTTTTTTCCCCCTGTTATGAGTTGTCAATTTGATTTTGTTAACGCTGTGTGATCTCCCATTTTTGTGAGGTGACTTATGCTATTTTGAAGATCATTAGAATCTCAATGGAGTTGTTTTTCGGTGACTCTCTCTCTCTCTTTCTCTCAATTGATAGCAATGTATAACTTACGTTATTTCCTCTTTTATTGACTGTTTTTGTTTAGTATTTTTTGATGTAGTATTATTTTTCTATCTCATTTATATGAATTAGTTTCCTTTTTGTTTTCATTATTGTTTACTCCAATTGGTTTAGTTTTACTTTTTTTTTTAAATTTATTTTTTTATATTAATTTCTCCTTTATTTCCCTTGGGATTTAATAATCTAGGAAAAAAATAAAAAAATTAACCACAAATTAGACCCACTAGCAAATGCATGTCAGGTTTTACAATGTTCCCCAGTTATGGATGAGTGTACCTTAGTTTGTTTTCTCTTTGTGAGCATGCAATCTTTTTGTTTTACAATGTTCTACAGGTTGTGGGTGAGTGTACCTTAGTTTGTATTCTCTTTGTGAGCATGCCATCTTTTTGTTTTACAATGTACCTTAGTTTTTATTCTCTTTGTGAGCATGAAAATCCTTTCATTTTTAAGAGTTGAACCTGGACATATCATTTTTTTGTGTTTGAATTCTTAATTTTATTGTTTCACATTTGAATTCAAATATGTTGAGGAGTGCCATCGGCATGTGTCATCCACTTATTCTCTTTTTTTTAAAAAAAAAAAAAAAATTAAGCCATTTATTTGTGATATTTACATCCTCTATTTTTTATTTTCTCAACTGACTGTACATTTTTCAATTCATATGGTTGCTTGGTTTGATTATTTCTCAAGTGGCATGACTTTGCTACTATGCCAGGTTTACTTACAGATGTTGATGACAGTGGTTAAATCCTGTAGAATGAGACTTGGCCGATGACGGTAATTGGAGCCTCCATTGAAGTACAAATATGTAAGGAACCTAATTTTTTATTATTATTTGAGAATGTGGATTGGTATGTTGTGATAGAAACTATACTTCGAGCTTTGTTTATTACTATTTTTTTCCCTTCTTTTTTAGACTCGATAACTCAAGCAGTGCTCAAAGCTCAAACAATTACATTTTTTCTAATTTGTTTTGTTATGCATGTGTTTCAGTTGAATTGGGATTTTAATAAATCAATTTAATTTGGGTAATGCTTTACATTTGAATGACGGGGTAATTTTTTTTTTTTGCTATCAATCACTCCATTCATCTTTGTAACAAAATTATTATTTTTCTTTAGTTAGCGTTTTAGATGTGATTTTTTCATTTTGAAAATGATATACTTTGTAAAGTATGGACATCTATGTTGATTTTCTTTGATAATGAAGTATGAAAGTGATTCGAGCCTTGACAGAGTCACCTAAGATACCGTTATTTTCTTTTACTTACTCCGTGTATAATGGGCATCCATTTATATTTTCCATTGCACTGTCTACAAACATTAATGATATTTTGATTAATTATTTTATTTCCTTCGTTTCGATTGTTATATTTCTATAATTCAATTTCTAATATCTGATTTCCTCTTGCTGCAGTTCATCAATTTTTTGATTTCTTTGATAATATTTTTCATTAAAATTTTGATAAATATGTCATTTCCTTTCTACCTCTAATCGTTAGTTTTCTCCCAAGTTTTAGTTTGTTACTTTATGTTGTTTTCGTATTGTGCTATGTTTTTTGTTGGTGGTCATCAATTTCTAGGTTCTCGATATAATCAAAGGTATAAGCCCTCACACACAATTTTTCTTTATTACATCTATTTCATTACTCATATAATTTTGATAAAAGTTAAATTTTTTTTGTCTATTACTTATTGGGTCTTCCGTGATTATTGGGTTTATAAAAAATTTCTCCCTCCTCCCATTTTGTAGTTATGTTTTAAACAAAGCTCTGTTTCCATTTGCGTAAAAGATGGAAGCAAAATGGGACTAATGAGCAGTAAATCATGATAAAAAAAACAATATTGCTCAAATTTTTTGCTTTCATTTGCTTTTTCCACTAGATTATTTTTCTCAATCTTTCTTTTCTTATGAAGCTTAGTAAAGGGTGTCGTAGTAGTCTATGTAGCTTTTCTGTGAGTGATTTTGGTGAATGTAAAGTAATGGAATGAAATAGAATGGATTGGTATGACCTATGAGAAACCTAATATAATGGCTTATTTGACTGACTCATGCACTGTACACTAGATTTCTTTTCCCGTCATAAGACAATGTTGGCTTGGCCATTACACATTTTGGTGATTGTTGGGAGTATGTGTTGAAGATTTAAACCAAAAAGAAAATATGCATAATGAGGATTGAAAAAATTGAAAAAACAAAAAACTAGAAGATAAACATAGATAAATCTCTTCTTTTTTTTTTTTTTTGGGTGAACACAAACAAAATAAATGCCTTACTTAAGACAATATATGTTGATAAATTTTGAATTACTTTAGAAATAACTTTGTGCTAAGTTTTAGAATCCCCTAAGTTTGAAATTGCAGAGTACAAGTTGGTATGCTTTATATGGTGTTCAGTAATTTTTTTTTCTTTTTATTATAGAAAGTTAACGAGTATACAATAGCGCTGATTTCTGTATTTTGTTTAGAGGGAGTTGCTATTTTATTTGAGTTCTGTATAACATGTGGTACAAGTAAAATTGTTACAAGTTCTTTAAAAAGAATAATATTTCTTTATATTTTCTTAGTATCTTTATCAAAAAATGACACAGATTTCATAAATTTCAACATAATATATATAAATTACAACTGTATTTTAATCCTAACATTATTTACACCGCACCTTTAGGTGCGAGCATATACTAGTTAAATTAATGTTTGTAAACAAGCACACAGATATGCCGTGTTTGCTAGAATCTTGAATTTGTGAAAAAAATTGTTAAAAATAAAAAGATAATAAATGAAATATAAACTCAATTATTTCATCATTACTACACACTCGAAACAAGTACCTTGAAAATAAAATGTGGAACGAAAATAAAATGTGGAACGAATTTAACCAAGTTTAATCTACGCATACACTTCATTTTTTAGATACCTAACTTTTTCCATTTTCTCTCTGAGTTTTACCTCCCATTTTGTTTTCCTTCTATAAATTCCTGTGAGAACCACTGCTGCCCTTCTTTAACATTTACAAAAATCAATATGGTGCATTTACAAAATCAATATTGCGAAGGAAAATACACAAAATCAAGAAGGCAATCTTTTTTTCTTTTTTTTTTTGCAATATTTCATTTAAGTATTTTCTTTTGCAACAATCATTCCCCTTTATCCTCTTCTGAGTCATCATCTTCGAGATTGAAAACATCAGTACTTTCAGCATTCTTCTCCTTTCTCTGCACTTTGACTAAATTGATATCACCATTTGGTGATTCCCTGCATAGGGATTGAGCTTCATCATCATCCGACTCCTCTCTCATTTTGTCGGAATAAGCATAACTGCACCAAAGCCACAGTAAGTAAGCAAGAAAAAAATGGTGGCATATGGACAGATGGGAAGAGTAGGTTCCGAAAAACAGACACTCACTCGGGCAAAGAAATAATAACATAATTTATCTCAACTTTTGCCGACTTAGACATGGGCTGGGCTTCCCTCCAGTCCGACTGGAGGGTACTATTGGGCCTGTGGGGGCCACCACGGGTCATATTTCGATAATCCAAACCGTTCACTGTATTCGTTTATTTTTTCATTATCTATTTTTTTTAATACAAAATTGATTTGATCATGTAATTATTAATATCCAATCAACATGATTTTTTATAGGCATATAGTACTCGACGGATTCTACACATTGAACGGTTCAAATTATCAAAACGGGACCTATAGTGGACCCCAACGGGTCTAACAGTACCCTCCAGTCTGATCACGAATTAAAGGGAAGCCCGCCCCTTTTGGAATAGGGCTGGCGTCTAACACATTAATCTTCATTGAATAAAAGATGGAAGATAAAAGAGCAAAAGCCACTCAAAATTTCTGAAATCTTTTAAAGAAAGCTAAGAACTTTGGGTACTCAGCTGGCGCTGCTATGCAAGTTTAAAAAGGTGACCTAGAATTCAGAGACCACCCTAGCTCAGCCCACAAAAGAGGTTATGTCTTCCCAGCCATGACAAGGGAAGATAATTGGGTTTACAAGGTAAAATTCTCAGATGATATACTTTGAGCTGAAGTGTCGCGTGGTGGGCAGAAGTTTGATGAGAATGACTCAATTATCAAAGACAATGTGTAGTGAATCTCCTTTAGTACAAGTTGACCAAATTTTTTACTGTGGTCTTTCTTTTCTTCTTTTTTTATGCTTTTGAAAAAGTCCCCCAAATTAATAGAAGGGACCGTCCTTATCCACCGGTGAGATGCACATGAGCACCTGCCGGTCATCTATGAACTGCTTGGATTAACCAACCAAATCTAGCTTAAGTTATTATGGTGGTGTTTGGGAACTTGGGTTTGGGATATTTTTTTGATTTTTTCCACCAAAAGACAAACTTTTTGCAAAACTAAAAAAAACACATCCAAACAAAATATCACATCCAACTCCATAATCATTTCACTTTTTCTCTCACAAAAATCACATCCAACCACAAAAAAACCCAACTATCTTCCCAAACACAAAAAAAAAATTTCTTCAATAATATCCTACAACTAAAAAAACCTACATAAAAACCCACTTCCCATACACCCACTATGTAAACAGACACAAAAGGCCCAATAATGGTTGGATGATGGTAAAATGTCATAACAAACCCTAGTGTGCGCTTAAAAAGCACGGAATTCTTCATATGGCTATTTAAATTCGAGACATACCGTTGAGAGCTCTGTGATGGGGCCCAGAGATAGCAGATAACACATAGCAATAAATATGCAAGAATATCCCAAAAAGCAGTGATCATCCAAGCACTCTGCCACCTCTCATTGAATGGATCTGTTCCTTTGAAGTAGACCTTTAGAGGGAAACATATAATCATCCAATAGTCAGAATGTAAATCCAGAATGAGGATAAAATATAATCTTCAAACAACTTGGTTTTAACATTTTTTATGTCTCATTTCATCAGAAATTGAAAATTTCATGCAAAAAACATTTATTTCAAGGGAAAATGTATAAATGCTGATCAGTGGAATTTTCCATTTCTCACTAATAGTGATAGAGGGAATTTAAGCACAGAACCTTGCATGGTTGTACAATTCAGTAACTTTTGATTATTTTCCTCCTTGCAATAAGATTAATAATTATGTAACAAACATGTTGGAAGAGCTTTCAAAACTCCATCTTCCTATGATAGATAGATTTGAGTCTCATCTCATTCATTAGAATGACACTTCCAAGGATGATTAGTAGTCAGATAATATACTACTTTTTCTTATGAAAGAAACTATAGTGGGCAAGGAGTCATGAATATATGTCAAGGAAAGTGAAAGACTAAGGAAGATAAGGGTATGGAAGTACAAAGCTTGACTAAAAGGACTTGAGAAATATATGAGACTGGCCTTTAAGCCTGTGATGGATGGGCAAAGCAGTTTGTCAAGATTTGGCATATAAAGTGGGTGCGGTGTGTAAATTTTTCCAACACTAACTATGAAAAATGAAAATGCTCTCCACAAGGAAGAAATTCTGCACCTTCGTGATAAAGTGCACAAAGAGCTGGTGAGGCAGAAACAAATATATCCACTGCCCATGTCAAACTTACTTAATTATTCATGAGGCAATGAGGAACACTTTAATCATAACATAATAATTAAGCACTCAAGTAATCTTCTCCATGTAGCTGGTGAGACTGGCCTTTGAGCCTGTGATGGATGGGCAAAACAGTTTGTCAAGATTTGGCATAAAGTGGGTGAGGTGTGTAAATTTTTCCAACACTTGCTATGAAAAATGAAAATGCTCTCCACGAGGAAGAAATTCTGCACCTCCGTGATAAAGTGCACAAAGAGCTGGTGAGGCAGAAACAAACATATCCACTGCCCATGTCAAACTAATTTTATTATTCACGAGGCACTGAGGAACACTTTAATCATAACATAATAATTAAGCACTCAATTAATCTTCTCCACATAGTTGGGATTTTTGCTTTTGTCTATTTATGAAAATGAAAATGAAAATGAATTCTAATAAACAAAATTAGACCAATGTTATTGCACATCAAAATTAGAAGCAGAGTCTACTCATTAGAAGCATACCTCATATCCTATCCAAGCAACTGAAGCAATCACTGTTGCTACTAATGCATTTGAGAACTTTCTATAAATATCCAACTTGACAGAACTCCTCTTTGCCTGGATAGAGAGAAAAATATCATTATACAAACTCTATGAGAATGAAAATAGTAATAATGGATGGAAAATAATTACTAGTCTTATGCAACTAAGTGAAATGACACTAAAAAACAGACTTGAATTGGTAGTGATGGAAAAGGCAGTACCTGTAGCTGCTCTAGTGTCCTTGAAAGAGAAGTGAAAATCCACAATATTAAAAATGCATCCAATAATGCATCAGGAAGGACTAGAAAGACCCTTGCTCTTCCTGCTACGTCATTTATAGTTCCCACATATTCAGTAATTTTCAGCAATTCAGATGCCAAGAAATAAGTTACACCAAGAAGCAGCACCTTTGTGGTAAGACCACCAAGAGTAGGACGCACCACACCGTAGCCCATTGAAACACAGAGTATCAGAAGGCGTGAAAGAGTTCTCCTTATGGCTCCAACTGTCACAACCCAAGTTGTAATTCCAACTGGCCGTATTCCTGTATTATTGAAGTGTGCATACTCGAAGTACCAGAGAGTCATCTCAAGTAATCCAAGACCAATAACAACAGCAATGCAATGCTGAAGTTGCAATATGTCCTTCCAAAATCTCATGTACTGAGAGAACCAAATGAGACTAAGCAATGCATATGCGAGAGACATGATCACATAAAACTTCATTAAGGGAGCCATTCTGCCAGGTAAGTATCCATCAGGATTCTTCCACAATGTCTTGCCACTCATTGTCAGTCCCTTGAGTTTTGGATCACATGATATAAAGAACAAGTTGTACATCCCAGTCTTTTTTATGTAAACCACTTTATTATCCATTTGTGTGGATAGGTAGTTTCTTTTGAACTGTACATTTAAGATGATAGGCCACTTCTTACTGGTTTTAGAATGTATTCTAATGACTTCACCTTGCTTACAACCTTCCAGCTTAGCAAGATCAGGGGTGCAGCAGATAGATCTCTGCCCACCATAAGCTGAACCACCAATATTATCTCGATCAGCGGCCTCAAATATTATAACTTGTATCAAGCCTGTACCGTGTTCCATTTTTGAGCGCTGGTCCGCAGCTTCTTTAGTCCTCCAGAATGTGATATTCTCAAATCTAATTTAGTTTTAATTGTCAGAGGGCAAAATTCAAACAGGAATAAAATGTTACTGACAAGTAAAACAAATTTTATAAGGATAAAAAAAAAGCCAAGAGAGTACTACCCAAATGCAAAAAGGAAAAAAACACCACATGATTCCACAGAATCCACAAAATTCAAGCAGAAATAAAATCTGTCACTGAGTGGAGCTCCCAAGATAAAACTAATAATTAATGGCACATACATCCCTAGCAAGATATATATGCAGCGAAGTTCATATCATTACACCTAATTTAGATCATCCAACATGTTGAACCAAATCCACATTATAAGAAGCCCCATTTCAACATGACTCATTTATCCAGTCCCATTTGAGATGGTTACAAGAAGATATCCAATAGCTCCAAATACACATCATGAGAAGCCCCTCTTCAACTTGCTATCATACAAATGGCAACAACGAAACACTAGAAAACTAGAAACTGAATTATTAGCATATGTTCCACAATAAATATGGAACTGTAGCAATTGCAACCTCAAGAAAGAAGAGATCCGGCTATCAATACTGGCTCTATTCAATAAATTCATGTCACATGTCTCAGGGGCTTTACTCCCCTTGTTGGCGGGTAAAATCCATAAATAATTTTTATTTGTTAGTTATCATACGGTCACAAAAATATTGGTTTCAGTTCAACCTTTATAGCAGCATTGGCTTGCAAAATGATTAGTTTCCCAGCCCATGCAATGCTTTGGATTGCAAGGTCATGCAGATACCTAAAGATAAAAACCATCAAACCAAAAACCACAAAATTCACAACTCAATTGGTCAATTGCTACAGTACGGGATTTCTCACTTTTAGAATGGGCAAATACGAACATAAAGATAAAATCTGTTGAAACATAACCCACAAACTAGCATCTCCAGTTCAATAATTCTCCCAGAGTTTAAATGTCTAACGCTTATATTTGAGTCAAGTACAGTGGAAGCAATATATATATATGGAAGACACGTTAATAAAACAACCAGATATGAAATTAAACCAGCTCATTTTCAGCTTTGCTTCTAACCTTACTTAGGGCATCTCCAACCCTGACTCAATCCTATATCAAACTTGAATTTGGGTAAAAATCACTCAAAACACCCTTTACTCCTCGATCCAAACTTATAACAAATTGACTTTTACTCAAATTAAGGGAGACTAAAATGTTTACTCAAAACTTTTAAGACTATTTTGTGGGTGTCAAATTTAAGACTTTGATATTAGTGAAACTTTTACTCAAACTTATGATTAAATCTAGGTTTGTCCATAGGAGTAATTCATATCAAATGAAGATTTTACTCAAATTTGAGTAAAATTGTGTAAGGGCTGCAGATGGCATTACATTAGCACCAAAACTTCATCAGCAACAGATACAATTCATTGTTAAAGTAAGGAAATCAATTCCACTTCTAGCTCTCTTGTGAAGAAAATGTGTTGAAAAGCAAACCAAAAAACATAAAATTTCCACCACTCACGGATACTACACAATTATCAGGTTCAGTTTACAGTCAGCTCCGAAATTTCAGAATCAAAACTGTTTACTTCAGTATTCAAAATCTTCATTTTCTTCCTCCTTTTCTCCAAGTTCCGCAACAAATAAACAAAATTCACGAAATTCAATCTTGCGGCAGCAGATCTGACTCAATATCACCAATCGTAGCTCAATTTCACATCCAGTTCTCTTGCCAAGAAAATGCGGTGAAAATCGAACCAAAAACCAGAAAATTCCCACCACTCACGAATACTACGCAACTATCAGATTCAGTTTACATTTAGCTTCGGAATTTCATAATCAAAACCGTACGTTACTTCAATGTTCAAAATCTTCATTGTCTTCAAGTTTCCCGGCAAACAAACATGAATTTACGAAATTCAATCGAGCGCCGCAATGCGGCAGCAGATCTGGCTCAGTGTTACCAATCATAGCACAAATATAGCGTAGATACAAATATATATACACATATACATATGAAATATAGAGACAATATACCTGATATAAGATTGGCCGTCGTGGATCGCATTGCCGGCGAGAGGAGTGGCGGAGCGAGAAGCGACGATGCCTTCGCTGCCGCCGGAGAGAAGGTAGGCACTGCCGACTTCTCTGAATGCATCTCCGTGATAGGCGTGGATTGCGGAGAGAAGGTAGGCACTGCCGACTTCTCTGAATGCATCTCCGTGATAGGCGTGGATTGATGCGTCTGCTGATCCAATGGCTGATAATAGGATAGCGAAAATGATGCAGTAGGGGATGAAATCCATGCCGACAACCCAACAATTCTAGAGAGAGAGAGAGAGGAGGGATCGGCGAATTTGATGGAGGGGTTGGTGAGAAAGAGCAGTCGTGAGAGAGGAGTGTGTGAGAGAGCAAGCGATGCCACAAAATTAATAATTATGACTGCATAATTTTTAATATTAATTTTTTTTTATAAATTAATTTATATAATTTTTTAATACATATTTTTTCATAAAAAGTTAATCTAAATATTCATATTTTTAACCTCAATTTTTCAATTTAGAAAGACAAAAAATATACTTATTTATGACACTCCAAACAATCCAAGCAGATTTGGTAAAGTAATGCCAAATGTAATTTATCAAAATTTCTTTGCTCAGTGGATTTGAGAGAATTTTGGAAAGTGAAATAAAAAAGATGGTAAAATATAAATAAAATATATTTAAATTTTATTTAATTATATATATTTTTTATTTTAATTTTTAATTTTTATTTCAAATCTTTCAATCAAATACAGTGATTTCACATGGGTGTAAGACCTATATCATCAGCTAAAAATTTTAAACTAATCAGGAAAAAAAAATTGTTATAAAATCAATAAAAGATTAAGAGATAAACAATTTTTTAAAATCAATAAAAGATTAAGAGATAAACAATTTTTATAGAATGAAATAGGATTGTATAAAATATTACTCAATTTATTAAAATCGCACCGATTCATATTAATTATTACTACTCTATTTGTTAATCACGGTTTAAATTTTAAAATTTATAATCCGTTTTTGAAACTGCTCCACTTTGCTATAATTAATACATATTTATTTTTTAACCTATAATGAAATATCAAAGTAAAAATGAGTACGAGAGAAATTTAAGATGTGAAATTTGTTACAAATTAGTAGTTATATATATGAAAAATGTTATGTAAAATTAGTTTGTTTTATATACATGAAAAATATTATGTAAAATTGGATGGTGTTATATGTATAACAAATGCAAAGTAGTATTATATATTATGTAAAGACTTGGTAATTAGGTAGAATATTGTTCAATTTGTCAATCCATTCAAAACCGCTTAAATCACAATTTGTTCACCATTCGATTTATAATTTTTCTCAAACCATCTAAACTGCACTGCATGTAGCGATTCCGGTTTCGATCCTTCTTTCATGTGTTTGCCACTTCAACTGGGCCGGTCGGGGGTCGAGCTGCCCGGTCAGCTCACGGGGGTCCAGGAGGCAGTACCTCCCAAAACAAAAATGCAAAACGCATTCGAAGTTGCTTGTCTGCACGTGCGGGGAATGAGGCCGCACGTGCGAAAAACAGGGCAAGGGGGCTGAAGCACACTGCTAAAAAGGCAAGTGCGGGATGTTAGGTAGATCCGAAATTTTTCCTTTTCTTCTCTCTTTGGGCTGATTAAATGTCACTTTTTGTATATATCTCTCTCTCTAAAAACATTTACTCTCTCTTCTCTCTACTTTTCCTACCAAAAACCTCACAAGATCTTTGATTTCTCCAAATCCATTGAGATTTAGATCCAAGTCCTTCATCAAAGTTGGTTATCTAGGTGAGGGCTACATTGTGTGCGGTGGAGATCGAGTTTATGCATAGTTGATTTTGGGGTTTCAACTCGTTTTTTCTTCAAACTTGAGGTAGGGATTTTCTATACTCTAATATGGTTTTTAACTTAGTTATTTGTTATTGTGTATAGATGATGAGATTCGGTTGCGGTTTGGACAAATTTAGAATTTGGGTGTGAAATGAAAATAGGGGTTTTGATGAATATGAGATGAACAAGTATGAGACTTGAATATAAGATCATGTTGTGCCAAAATAGTTGATTTTGGTGTTTGGGTTGATATTTGGTGAAAGGGGGATTTTGACATAATTTTGATTAAATTATTATTTTGCATAAATAATTGAGATTAACATTGAAAATGTAAAATTGGAAGGTTGTGATTATAAATGGTGATATTAGATATGTATTATCTCACATATGGAAGTTTTGAATAAACTATTTATTTTGATATTGAACATCTCTTTAGAAATAATTGCATTGGGCTATCGGTAGAGGATAGTCATGATTGTTGTAGAAATTGTATGAGGATTAGGCGATTTATTACTAATCTATTGATTGATTGTCATTGAATATGACCGTGCTATAAATACATTGTATATGTATGTTTATTGGGAGGAGATAGGAGATGTACTCCATATATGATTATGTTTATAAATACATTGCATATGTATATTTGTTTGGGAGGAGAAGGGGGATGGACTCCATTTAAAGCAAGTTGGTCGGAGTGTCCTGGGTGAAAGACCCGAAATGTTATATATAAATGGGTGCCAAGTCATTCGGATGAAATATCCGTAAAATGACATATTTGAGAAAATATACATGGGTGCCGATTCCCGCGGACGAAATATCTGTAAAAAGACAAGTTTGAAGTGTTTATGTGTGTTTTGCATAAATAGAAAACCATTGAGCTGTAGTCTCATTTTGGTTGTTGAAAGATAACGAATTTAACTCGTGAATTGAATAGCATATATGAACTGGAAATGAAATTAAAGGAAAATGGAATAAGGTTGGTCTTAGTGGCATATGGATATGCAGGTATTGTGGATGTTTCAGGATCGGTATTGTTTATGTACGTGGTATTTATACATTTGCTAAACCTTATAAATTGTGTTAGATTATTTCTACTGGGCTGTTGGCTCACCCTATATGGGAATATCATTTTCAAGTATAGGTGAGATGCTTCCTCTAAGGCAATAGTGTGGATGAAGTTTTAGGAAGCAAGAGCTTCTTAATTATACCTTATGTGTGTATGTTTGTTATTTGTAAAGTAATGAGCGAAACACAATTTGTGTAACCAAGCAATGACTTGGAAACATGTAAGCCTACATGGCATTTAACTGATTGTTAAACAGTGAACTCTGATATATGAAAGTTTGTTGTTTCTCATATTTATTTCGCATATGAGTTATCTTTATTGTATTATTTTGGGGGGGTGACACTGCATACACCCCTACTCACAAGGGAGGGAAATAAATCTCCACACAGGAGACCAAACTAAAAATTAAGAAAATCAAACAAAAAAAATTAAATTCAAGTTGCCATCGAATTCATCCAAAACTCAATTGTTTCATAACCTTCAACTTGAAATCTGAAAACCCCACATCTATTGGTCAAGATAGAATATTGAGGTTGAGGTGTTCCCCTAAAGTAAAACAAGCGTGTTATCCAGTATCGACCTTTCGACTGTGTGAAGATTTGAAGCCATATTTAAAATTTTTGAGTTCGAGGGTGAAGAAGTAAAACGGTGATGGCCGGACTTATAAGATCTTAAATTATTGCGATAAACTTACCTCCTTATTTTCATATCTATACACTTGTCCATACTTTATTTGAGTGCTTTAATCCGAGCACATACAGATAATCTAAACTGTCTATTTTATAAGCCTCATAATAAAGGTTATTCGTGCAAAAAATTAATTTTATCAAAAAATTAAAAATATAAAACAAATTGTATTTTGTTTTATAAAATATATGGTTTGAGTTTACAATCATATTTATTATTAATTTTATAAAACAAAATATGATTTGTTTATGTGTTTATAGATATCCAATTAAATTAATTTTTTACATGAATGACCTTTATTACAAGACTTACAAGATAGATGATTTGGATCATTAATGTGCGTATGAATTGAAACCCATAAAATGGGTAAGGTCTGTAATAACCGACCTCCGATTAATGCTAAATCATAATTAGTTATGCCTAACAGTAATTTAGAAAGAATCCGGAATTAAATTGCATATGTGTTGCATTATCTTAGTGTTTTTATCTGTTTGCCATAAAATGATCTGTTCCTATTTTATGTTTTAAACTGCAAATTGAAGGCTTTATCGGCGGCCGAATCCAAAATTGATTAGTGTTTTGTGTTAATTAGAATTAATGTGATTTTATGGTAAATTTAGTTGAAATTTGATTTGGTATGATTAAATTAGAATAAATAATGTTAAATTACATTAGTTTGAATAAACTACCATTTTGCCACTTAGTGAGACATTTACTAAGGCACCTTGAGACTTATTCAAACACATTTCCTCAGCCATTTGAGACCCATAACCGACTAGAGAGAGAGAGAGGGTTAGGAGAGGATTGATTTCAACAAGTTTTGGCTAGGAATTTGAAGAATTGAAGTGTAGATTGCACAATTGAGCTTCTAGACTTGAAATTGAAGACTTAAGGTAGAGCTTTTACCTTCTTGTTTATGAATTGAGTTGGTTCTTGCATGGTTTAGAAGAATGTTGAAGTCTAGAGCCAAGTTATGGCTTAAAATGTGGAATAGTGAGCTTGAATCATGCATGCATGTTTACATTCTTGAATTTTGAGGTTGTTTTCATAGAATCCTCACATGCATGTCCATATTTGTGTTATAGTTCATGAATTCATCATGTTTTGGAAGGATTGACTCATTTAATCAAGTATTTGAGGCTTTGATTTCAATTGAACACTTGCATGTTGCATGTACATCATGTTCTTGAAGTTTTGTTTGGAAATGGGTTCAATTGAACTACCTTTGGGCTTTGATTTTGCAAATTGATCTTTGAAACATGTCATATTATGAGTTTTAAAGTGTTTTTCAGAAAATTAGCCCAAAAGGATCAAATTTGATGCTTTAAATGTTGAGTTTCATGCTTGGAGACAAATCTGAAAATTCCAGCTTGTTATTCTCTTAAAATTGTCTAAAATTAACAAATTTTAACCAACAATCTAACTGATCAGTCAATTTTATCACTCAACCAATCTAAGGATTCGTTTGGGATGTGAGTTGATTTTTTAATTTTGTTTTGACTATTTTAACCTAGACTTAAAAGTCTCAAATTCTCTTTTTTAGCTATTTTAACCAAAAAGTCTCAAACTTTTTCTTTCCAAACGAGGGCTAACCCAGTTCACTCACCTTAGACCATCTCCAACGGTGAACCAAAGTTGGCATCAGATTTAAATTTTGATGAAAAAGGCTCTTTTTTATGCTCCAACCGTTGCACCAAATTGATATCAAAATGAGAATTCAGCAAAAAAAGGTTGTGATTATAAATGGTGATATTAGATATGTATTATCTCACATATG